GCGTTTGTGGTGATTTTGGTCCAGTATTTGAAGGGGTTCGTTACAGATAATCCTGATTAGGGATTCATGAGTCTAACAGCCTCAGGGTAGAAGCTGTTCCTCAGTCTAGTGGTTATGCACTTAATGCTCATCAACCTTCTGCTCGAGCGGAGCAGGGCAAAAAGTGTGTGTGCTGGGTGAGTGTGGTCCTTCATGATGCAGGTGGCCCTCGGTTTGCATCTGGAGGTGTAGATGTCTGTGATGGTGGGGAGGCTGACTCCAATGGTCTTCTGTGCAGCCTTCACCACTCTCTGCAAAGCTTTTTTTTCTGCAGCTGTGCAGCTTCCATGCCACACATTGATGCTGGAGCACAGGATGCCGGAGCACAGGATGCCCTCCACTGCACACATGTAGAAGGAGGTGAGGGCTAAGCTTCCCAGTCCAGCTCGCCTCAGCCGCCTGAGGAAGTACAGTCTCTGATATGTCCCTGTTAAGAGTTTGTTAGAGTCTCTGATCTCACATAATGATGACCAACTGACCAATGAATACAGAGTACAGTGATGGGTACGGTAGTTACAACCAGTTATGAATCTTAGTGTGCCATGGTAGATAGCATCCACCATCTGCAAGAAGCTGGCAGGGCATTCATGTAAATAGTGTCACCATAGTCAATGGCCAGTAGGAAAGTAGTGGTTACAAGGCTTTTTTCTGGCATTCAGACTTAAGAAAGAACTATTTCTGAAAAAGAAACCCAGTTTTAATTTCAGTTTCGTTATCAAGTTTTTGATATGTGGCTTAAAAGAGAGATGTGCATCAACCAAAATTCTCAAGAATTTGTAAGCATCTACAAACTCAATAGGAACACCATGCATGGATGTGATAGGAGGAAGAGTTGCTGACACTGACTTTCTGTTTGAAAACAACATCCCTTTGGTTTTGTCAGCATTTAGCACCAGTTAAATAAGTAAGTCTGACTGAATTATGTATGTTAAATGCAGACTTTAGCAGCTGTAAAACCTTGGCAACTGTGTTAGCTCGGCAATAAACCACAGTGTTGTCAGCATAGAGATGCAAGGATGCGTCAGGAATGTTTTGACCTATATTATTTATATAAACTATAAAAAGAGTGGGACGTAAAGCTGATCCTTGTGGCACACCATTGGTGACTGTTAGGTAGCTTAAGTACCATTATGCCGAACACATTGCCTCCAACCTGAGAGATAGATTGAGAACCAACAAACAGTGTGATCGGAGAAGCCCATATCTGAGAGCCTGTGGCATAAGATGCCATGATCTACCTTATCAAAAGCTTTGGACAGGTCTAACTAAAGTTCAACACAGCAATCCTTAGCATCCAAAGCTTCAACAACATAATTAAAAACCTTTAGCAAAGCAGTCATTGTGCTATATTGTTTTCTGAAGCCAGATTGGACGGAAGATAAAATATTAAAAGAGTCCAAATACTTCTAGGGGGGCAACTGTGGCTGAGTGGTTAGAGCAGCCATCCTCCAATGCATAAGTTGGGGGTTCAAATCCACCAGAAGTCACATGCCAAAGTGTCTCTGGGCAAGACACTGAACCCCTTGTTGCCTCCGATGTGTGTCCCATTGGTGTATGAATGTGATAAAGCACTGATTAGTCTCTTTAGAATGATTTGTTCAATTAGCTTTGTAGAGATGTAGTAGAGTGCTGTATGAATGGGTAAATGAGGACACATATTGTAGTATAAAGTGCTTTGAGTGTCTTGATAAGATAGAAAGGCATTATATAAGTACAGTCCATTTACCATTTACTTCTTGACGTGAGGATTTGTCAGTTTTTCTAAAACATTGGCTAAAATACAGAGTTTGGAGATTGGTCTATGTTCACTATAGTGGGGTGTCCTCTATTCAATAATGGTAGCACAAATGCTGTTTTCCAAGCATCTGGCACCTGGTGGTATTATGTTGTATAGACAGATTAAAAATGTATGACACTGGTTCTGCTACAATTTGTGAATATAGACTTAAGAAATAAGGAGGGAGGTCATCAGGGCCTTCAGATTTTCTAGTATCCAGATCTTTTAACAGTTTAGTAACCTCGCTGACAGAAAACAATGAAAAAGAGATTGCATGGTTTACTGAGATTTGACTTGTTGGTGGAATAGGTGATTTACCATTAAAAACAATATCAAACAAGGAACTGGAGGCAACAAAATGTTTGTTGAAACAATTTAGCATCTCATGCTTATCTGACAAAGGAGCAGAGTCAACAAATAATTGCGGTGGCATATCAGATGAGAACCTTTCTGTTCTCATTGTATATGCTCCCCTTGGGGTCTATCCTGAGGAAAACTTGGTCTTTCATTTCATTATTATGCTGATGACTGTCAGATTTATCTGCCCTTAAAACCCAACAGCTCCAGCTCCATTCCCCCTCTGTTAGAATCTCTTGATGATATCAAGGCATGGATGGCTTCAATTTTTTTAAAGTTTTAATGATCGGAAAACTGAAGTCATTTTGTTTAGCATTAGCTGTACTGCTGTCACTGATGCCATTAATCTTGACAGTCTTCAGCCCTATCTTAAGCAGTTTGTTATGAATCTTGGAATGGTTTTAGACTTGGACTTTAAGTTTAATAAACATATTAACTCTGTTCTTCAAAAAAAGCTTCTTCCGATTAAGGCAGATAGCTAAACTCTGTGGTGTCCAAATCTGAACTTGAAAAATTAGTCCATGCATTCTTTACAACCCGGTTGGACTACTGTAACACACTTTATGTTGGGGTCAGTCAGGCGTCACGTTCATGTCTCCAGCTCATCCAAAATGCTGCAGTTCGGCTGTTGACAGGAACTCTTAGGTTTGAACATATTTCACCGGTTTTGTCCTCCCTTCACTGGCTCCCTGTACATGTCAGAATTGATTTTAAAATTCTCCTGTTGACATTTGAGTGCATTAATGGTGTTGCCTGTGATGGACTTGCGATCTGTCCAGGGTGCACCCTGCCCCTTGCACAATGATTGCTGGACATGGGCACCGGCAATCCCTGTGACCCAAAATGGAAGAAGCAGGTAAAAGATAATGGATGGATGGATGGATGGATGGATGGATGGATGGATGGATGGATG